CCCGCGATCTCCCATGGTCGCGGTTGCTCGACTCGCATCGCACGGCGCTTGTGCGCTCCCTTCATGTGTCCCGTTTCACAAGGACATCGCCAACACTGACTCATGCAACGAAGGCTTTGCTAAATGAGTTCATATTTATTATGGAGAGTTACTGCTTGTTCTCCTGTTTAAACACGTTATTCGGATGGCTCAAACTGAGAAAATTACTTTCAAATCTATTTTGTGGGTGCAATTCTTACTGTTTTTCCTCATGTGCCAGATGATACAGGAAATCGACTTCGGTTCCAGCTGGAGTTAGAGTTTGTTCAGTGTCTGGCTAATCCAAATTACCTCAACTGTGAGTACTTAAATATCAAGATCTTGAGGAAAGAATATAGCTTAATGGTGTTTATTAACGATGTTAAACAGGGAGAGAGAGGGCTAAACAAAGAAAAGGAATTGGGTCTTTCACAGCATGAAGATACTCTGTAAATAATTTAGTTTGACTAAATTTCTAATAGTTTTTTTTTTAATGCAAAATGTTTTATTGGTTGAAACGGAAGAAAAAATCTATGTCTGGTGGAGAAAATTATAATAAGTTCAAGTCTGTAGTTAAAAAGTAATGTCAAGTTAACAGTATTCATTTAACTGAAAACAGAGTTTTACTAATGTTAATAATAGTTGCAGGTACTATACTGATTCCCTGGCAATTTTGATGCTACAGGCAAAATTTCCCGTTTCAAAAAGCTGTTCTCTTCCTTGCCGTCGTATGAAAGAAACATACGATAAGGGAGACGTGACCAGTTTATTATGCCTAGTATGTTGGCGTAAAATATGTTTTTCCCTGTGTGTTTTTTTTTTAATTTTGAATTATCAAAATTTGATAGTACTGATAAAGTTTTGACTAAAGTTTCTCTTTGCGTAGTTTTGTGAATACATAGTCTTTAAGTTTGGCAGGTTTTTTCACACATCTGTAACTGACAACTTTTTTTGTCATTTTATTTCAGTTCTTGCACAAAGAGGCTACTTCAAAGACAAAGCTTTTGTAAATTATCTTAAATATTTACTTTATTGGAAAGAACCTGAATATGCAAAATACCTGAAGTAAGTGTTAAAATCAGTTAGATTTCTGCATTTTAATGTTTACTTTCTGTTATGGACTGTACAGCAGTGTGTCAGTATTTGATTTCTGCCTGTAGCCTTACCTTTGTCCTCCCCACTGTGTTTATATGCAACATACATTTTCCTGTTTCCAACAGTCCAGATGTAGCAAGAATAGACAAAATCATAAAACTTGTCTTTCACGAGTCGTGCATGAAATCTTCCTTTTGCAGCCTGTATCTGCGCTTTACCATTTGTTTAAAATAAAACTATTGAATGTTACGGTACAAAACTACTTCAGTTAGGCCCAATAAGTACTTCTAAAGAGTGATTTTGCGTTGTTGATGCTTACACAAAACAAAGGTTGACTTTGCATTTTTCTGAGTGTGCAGATCTTCAGATTTTGGGAGAGCAGTTCTTGGTTATGTTCTTCAAATGAGCCCTGGAAACAGATACTGTAGTTGCTATGTATTTCTTCTAGTAAAATCTAGCCATCAGAAAAGCTACTGTAAGCAAGCACGAGCATCCCGTTTATAAACTGCTACAGGACTCGTCGTTTCCTAGCCCAGTACTGAAGTTGTTAAGTTACAGTGTGTGGGATGTTTACAGTCTTAAGTCGTTTGATACCTGAGTAAAGCACATACACAACAAAACTAAAATAATGAACTGCAGAATTCGAGACTCCAGTTTTAGTGTACGTTGTAAAAACTTAAAGTATGTTTATTTTTAATGCAGGTATCCTCAATGTTTGCATATGCTAGAGCTGCTCCAGTATGAACATTTCCGCAAAGAACTGGTAAATGCTCAGTGTGCTAAATTTATTGATGAGCAACAGATTCTTCACTGGCAGCATTATTCACGGAAGAGAATGCGCCTCCAACAAGCACTTGCAGAGCAGCAGCAACAAAACAACACCTCTGTAAAATGAAAAATGCTTGGAAGAGTGATGATAGGGTATGCTTTCTGTCAGCTGAAGTATTTACAAGAGGAATTAACCCTTTTGTAGGTTTGCCTCTGTGTGTGTACATTTTATTTTGGTTTATCAAGTGACCGAGTTTTGTTTTTTTTCTTTCATCAACTTTTTTTAAAGATACAAGACTGATAAACACCTACTTCTGCAATTTATCTTGTAGCACGGACCGTTTTGTAAGAGCATTATTTACTGTAGTTACTGATTCTGTTTGATTTTTGAAAAAATGTTAGGTTTGAGGGCACTGACGTTTAAGTATCTAACACAAAACGTAGCTCAGAAGTCTGTTCTTAGGAGGCATTTTCCCTGGAGAATAATAATGTGTCTCAAACTGGGGTTAGAAACTCTCATGTACTACTTTTTACAACTGCAGGATGAACAAAGTTGAAGTGATGATATTGTACAAGATCCTAAATAGTGTATATTTTTGCCTTGAAACAGACCTGAGCTATTACTTGTCATTTCTGTTTACCTGGTAATCGTTGTTGCTGGGGTCTTACAGAATTTTTCTTAACAGTGTGTTTTAGAGATTGAAGTCCAAAGGTGACGAGACAAGGACTGCAGGAGCGGAGCAGAGATAAGTAATAATAAACTTTGCAGATACTCAACAGAAGGAAATAGACTGTAGCTGTACCTGTTCCATTAAAGTCAGCTTCCTTTAATCTTGGTTTTCTGCCAGTTAAATAGTGGCTGCTCTTGGGCTTCTCTACAGTGCGCGTAGTGAAAATAATGTGTGTGACAAAAAAGATGGAAACACTTGCAGTATGGGAGAAGTATTTGCCATTTATTCCTGTATAGTTTTTGTTGTAAGAACATAGATCTCAGCAGCTGTCAGGGATTTAATTTTTGTATTTTAGACTGTATTCGTGCTGCATTCATGTTATATTTCATGTCCTCATAGGAGCAGGTACTACAACTGTTAACCCTTAACACGTCAGTAACACCAGGATTGTTAGCCTTCAGTTTATCATACTTGAATAGGATAAGCCCTATAGGCCACCTAGAAGAAAGCTGGAGAGGGACTTTTTACAAGAGCATGTAGTCATAGGACACAGGGCAATGGCTTTAACCTGAAAGAGGGGAGATTTAGATTAGAGGTAAGGAAGAAATTTTTTACAGAGGGTGGTGAGGCACTGGCACAGGTTGCCCAGAGAAGCTGTGGCTGCCCCATCCCTGGCAGTGTTCCAGGCCAGGTTGGATGAGGCTTTGAGCAACCTGGTGTAGTGGAGGGTGTCCCTGCCCATGGCAGGGGCTTGGAACTAGATGATCTTTAAGGTCCCTTCCAACTCTAACCATTCTATGATTCTATGATATTTAGACTGAACAGATAAGCCATTAAACATCTCTGGCACTGAAAATTTATTTTAACAGCTTCATTAGCTATGTAAAGTCAGATTTAGGAAGAATAAGCAGGTTTTTCTGTTTCTTCTACCCCCTGTCCCCTTTATTCACTATTAAAGGTATAACTTAGCAGTTAAGTCGTACTCTTCAGTAACTGTAGGCTGCTCTCAGGTTATAACGTGAGCTCAGCTCCTTTGAAAAGAGACTGTTTGCAAACTCAAGTTTATTTGAACATGAAAGGAATGATACAGTTTTTTGTTTCACGATTTTAGTGGAAGATTTGGACCTAGAATTTAATGACATTTATCTCAACTAGTCTGAAGTAATTACAAAAGTTTTTAAAAAGGTTAAGGATTCCTTGAAAGGACACTGCAAACAACTTTAGATTACCATCTTTGTAAATGATTGACTGTTGGAGGATTTAGTCTTCAGTAAACAACATACGCACAAGCTCTGCTTTAAAACATTCTTCTTCAACCAGCTTCTGAGGCTGAAAGAAAAGTGGAGATGTTTTAGGGGCAATTCAAAAACCTGTTCTAGACTGCAGCTGTTTGAACATACTCCAGCTGTTGGTTTACTGGGAGGGTGGAGTGGAGCAAGCAAGGTAAGAATAACTGAAAAATGCCCGAGGGTTTTCTGACTGTGGAAGAGGCATTTCTGAGAAAGTAACTGCTAATTTAAATAACATGCACAAGTTAAAACCTGAGATGTAGTCTGTCTGAATCAAGAGCGTACTGCACATAACCTTGCTTTACTCCCATAACTCAGCATTTGGATTTTTTAAAATCCGAGGAGTGAGGAAGCTAACAATACGTTGCTAAGAATCTTCTCTGCCTCTCAACCGCTACATGCTAAGTGTACATATTTTCATGACTGTATGTTTATTATAGACAACATTAAACAGAAAGCAGACTGGTTCTCTCCTGAGGAACTGTTTGAGCCAGGAAGAGTGCAAGGGTGGGAGCAGAAGACTGCTCTTTTTAAACAAGAGAGGGTATCAGAAGACATGCTGCATGACTAGTTCATTGACAGCCATAAGCTCCTGCCAGTTTCCCCATTTGAATGCCTGTAGATCCAGAACATAGAATAAATCACTTACTGTTCCATATTTAAGTAGTGTAGGCACTCCTGTTAGTTTCAGATTCTTCCTGAATTCGTTGTTGGGATCTTTCCAGCTGTTCAGGAAGAAAGGTTTAAGCACAATTTTAGAGGTGCAGTTTGAAGTTAGCCTGTTAAAATTCCTTCAAAATGATAATTCAGAGGTGTTTGCCTCACACCTCTCCAACCCACTTCTCAGAACAAGCATGCAGATAGTTCATATTGGGGATGGTGTAGACCTCAAAATTAAAAAAAAAAAAAAGCTTCATTCCTTGCAGGAAGAGACAGTTCAGTCAGTTGTTCCAACAGGTTAGTTAACCTCCAGTCCATGAGTAACAAATTATACCAGTTGTTGGCATTAAAACAGTTACTTACTAGGCTCTGTCTCCTACTAGGCAGTAGATGAATACAGACTCATCAGGCATGTTGTGAAGTTCCTTCCTCACAATCGGTTCAGCTAGAGAGTAATTTTTAAAATCTATTAGTAATTAATGCTTTTACTGTGCTACAGAATCACACAAATCTACTTTGACCGGCAAGGCTGCTAATTAAAGTTTTATCTGCTTCGGGTAGACATCTGTATGTTGTTTCATCTGGTCACCTACAAGCTTTGCAGAACGCTTTAGGTGCTGGACGTTGGAGGGACCGGCCTGTGAGTAAAGGCCGGTTTCTACTTGAACAAGGAAGGCAAAGAATCGTTGTCTGCTGCCGGCACCAAGGCCGCTCGGCGCAGCGGTCGAACTGCCCCCGTTCTGCTGCCGGACACCGGCTGTAGCTCGCTTCTGCCCCGGGGCGCGCGGCGC